AAGTGCATTAGATTTTGGGATTTAACAAATCCGTGAAACGGGTAACTCACTAACCTTAGCTGTTCAACGACCTCATTTCTGACACCCCCAGTATCGCAAGGCTTTGAGGTCGCATGCTACTTAGAAAGCCGCCTGGAGACAGACCTCCAATCGCATGAGACAGTTTCGTCTGTAGATGCGCCTTAAATTTTACGTCTCTACTTGACGCATCGTGGACATAATTAATTTAAGTCTTGCTCTCTGTGCAAAGAAGCTAAAACGACAATGGCGCAGTAGCAAATGCACGCTGTTCTCTTGAATTTAATCAGGTTACTCTCTGAATACTCGCTTTTGATGATGCATTAGAGTACCTTCGAAAATTCCGTACATGTTCCTGCGCTGTGAGGGCTCAACCGCTCGGCGGCATGAAAATATAGTAACTAGCATTTCAAGAGGATTTGGAGGTTCACGTAGGATGAGGCATGTCCAAACGTCATGACGAGCCATCAGTAATTTTATGCGTGCATAGACTTCATCGATCGAATAATTCAGAAACGTTAGACAGCAGTTTTGCCTGCATCCTTTAAAAATCAATGAGTTGATCAAAGAATATTTTTGGTCTCCACAAGTTGCCCTACTTTTTGGAACATTTGTAGCCGGTCATATAGCTTTGTAATATTTAGGAAATTGGATTTTATACTAGCCGATAAGAGACCACTACTGTTAAAAGAAAATAAATTTTTTTAAATTTACTCAGTGCCAGTTAGGACTCTCATCGCAGAACCGTTCGTTAAAATTTGTGTCCACAGGTTTCATCTGAACCTTGTTCGCAAGGTGCTTTGTCCATGTAGGGTTATACCACTACGCACTCTACAGCAGCGGTGAAACGAGACGCAGCAGAAGGTCTGATTGGCACGCAGCGTAGCGCCATCTGCTCTCACCTCGTATGCCCTTTGTAGAAGCGTGGACTCGTGCCACGTACAGCTGATTGCTACAAATAAGAAGCCTGTTTACTGACGCCCCAACGACTGTCGCGACAGACCGAAATTCGCCATCCTTTGTCTGACGCATGCGGACGGCATGAGGTCATCATCGACTGACGGCTGCCTCATCTGCGGCTGCATATCCTTAATTGCCTTTAAAGTGTTGGCGAGAAGGACTGCTGATCTTCGTTTCTTTTGGCCAGCCCGCCTCAGAGACGCTTTATTTTCTGACACTACCTGTATGTCGTCATAAATCATGGGCTGACTG